CGACATTCAGAAAGCGAATGGTCATCGCCATCATTCATCATTCCGAAGGTTGATCCTACCGTGTTGCCTCGGTGTGTGAATGATTTCTGTTTACTAAATGATAATACAGTACCCGACAACCACCCCTTGCCGCGAATCGACGAAATCTTGAAAGACTGTGCAAAAGGCAGGTTTTTCGGTAAAATTGACATGACTAACATCTTCTTCCAAACTCAGGTCCACCCTGATGATATGAAGTATCTCGCTATCCATACTCCCTTCGGGAAATATGAATGGACCGTTATGCCCATGGGCATACGAAACGCCCCTGTCGTACACCAACGCTGCATGACCACAGTGTTACATCATTTAATCGGTAAAATTTGCCATGTATATTTGGACGACATCATCATTTGGTCGCAAACACTCGAAGAACATGAGGCAAACATCTGCCTCGTTTTACTCACCTTACGTGCTGCGCACTTGTACTGCTCACCAAAAAAGACTTCACTTTTCAACACCGAACTTGACTTTTTAGGGCACCATATCTCAGCCCACGGAATCGAAGTAGATGACTCTAAAGTCGCCCGTATTCTAGAGTGGCCTCAACTGAAAAACGCCACTGAAGTGCGTGCGTTTTTAGGTATCGTTCGATACCTCTCCAATCACTTGCCTAATGTTGCTACTCACACACGCATACTTACTGCGTTAACGACAAAAGCCGCAGAGTTATGTTTCCCTCCTTGGACAGCTGAACACACTGCAGCATTCCAGGCCATCAAAAACCTCGTCGTCAGCCCAGAGTGCCTCACCACTATCGACCACGACAATCCCAAAGATAACAAGATCTTCCTGACATGTGACGCCTCCGATTACACAACAGGCGCGTTGCTGTCCTGGGGACCTACTCACGAAACAGCTAGACCGGTTGCCTTCGACTCAATGCAACTACGAAGCACCGAGCTCAATTATCCCGTGCATGAAAAAGAGTTGTTGGCTATCATTCGCGCATTAAAAAAATGGTGTTCTGAATTGTTAGGTGCACATGTTGACGTCTTTACTGATAATCGCACACTACAGAATTTCACCACACAATGTGACCTCTCCCGTCGTCAAGCGCGTTGGGCCGAATATATGTCGCAATACGACATGTCTATTAATTACATCAAGGGAGAGGATAACGGCGCCGCGGACGCCCTATCTCGTCGTACTGATACTACTTCAACGAGTGACCTTTGCGCTGCCTTACTCTCGCTCCGCGCAGACGACACACTCGTAGAGCGCATTGTGACAGGGTATGCTTCAGATCTGTGGTGCAGCAAGCTAACTGGTCTGCTAGAGTCCTTACCAGGCCTGACACGCGACGAACATGGACTGTTTTTCATCGCCAATCGACTTCGGTGCTGACAAGTCATACGCACTACTACAGGGCTCGTATTATTGGCCAAATATGCGACGCGATCTCGTCGACTCTTACATCCCCTCATGTACTGAATGTATGCACAACAAATCGAAGACTACAGCTACAACCAGTCCATTACATCCTCTGCCTGTTCCTGACGCTCGTGGTGACTCAGTCGCCATCGATTTCATTGGGCCGCTGCCTGAGGATTGCGGTTTTAACATGCTCGTTTCAATGACAGACAGACTCAATGCTGACATTCGTCTAGTTCCATGCAGGGACAACATTTCCGCAGAACATTTCGCAGGTCTCTTCTTTGACCACTGGTACTGCGAGAATGGACTCCCGCAAGATATTGTTTCCGATCGTGATAAGCTCTTCTTATCAAAATTCTGGCGTGCGCTACATAAACTAACCGGTGTTAAGATAAAGATGTCATCCTCGTACCATCCTGAAACAGACGGTGCGAGTGAACATATGAACAAGACCGTCAACCAAAGCCTTCGCTTCTTCATCGACCGCAATCACAAAGGCTGGGTCCACGCGCTCCCTCGCATATGTTTTCATCTTATGAATACTGTCAACGTGAGCACTGGTTTCTCGCCTTTCCACCTCCACCTTGGATGATTGCCTCGCATGCTCCCTCCCTTGCTCCCGCCTTCGCCTCAACCAGAAGACTCTGAAGAACATCGCGCACGAGAACTGTTGTCAAGACTCAAGAATGACGTGATGGAAGCACAAGATAACCTGCTCGCTGCAAAAGCAGCTCAAGCAATCAATGTCAACAAGCACCGAGCACCAGCGCTCACCCTCAACGTCGGCGATCACGTTATGCTCGCTACCAAGCATTGTTGACGCGAGTATATGCAGAAAGGAGACAACCGAGTGGCAAAATTCATGCCTCGGTATGATGGACCGTACGTCGTAATCGAAGCACACCCGCAATCATCAACCTATACGCTCGATCTTCCAAACTCCCCCAATATATTTCCAACATTCCATGTCAGCCAGCTACGTCCTTATCATGCAAACGACCCTACTCTTTTCCCCGCGCGTGAACATCCGCGCCCCAGTCCCGTGGTTACAGCAGACAGCCAACATGAAAATTTCATTGATCGCATTATTGACGAGAGAAATGTCGGAAGAGGGAAAAGATACTTGGTACTTGGGTCGGTTTTGGTGAAGAGGATGACGAGTGGCTGCCGAGGAGAGACTTAATCGATTGCGAAGCCTTGGATGTTTGGGAGAAAGGACGTTCTGAAGGATGATGGGGAAGGGTGTAAGCATACGCTTACCTTCATGTGATAAACGCGCCGTCCGTTGATTGGACACCACGTTACATTTGACGGTGTTTGGTCACTAACTCTGATTCAGTATATATATCCCCCCGCTGATGTACTCATATCTCATCTCTTACCGTATCACCGAATCCATACGCTCTTCCACGTTACCTCTGTCTGACTGTCCGCTAGTGTTTGCTGTCTACTGTGACAGTGTTCCAAACAGCCTGAAATTTTCAACGTGGCAGGCAGTAATCCTATCTGCTACATCACAGCAAGTGAGCAAAATGTCCTCCACGTAAGAGAGATGTCACGAAGCTGAGAAACGCAGAACAAGTATGAGCAACACAACAACGCACAGTAGTAATCACCCCGCCCCGGTGATGAAATACCAATATCCCACCACAGGCCTTACACTATCCCGCATCCCATTCCTAAAGAGCTCCGACTTATCATTTGAGCAGATCTGCGCACCAACCGCGCCTGCAACGATCACCGTATCGAACAACTCTCCATTATCATCCAGCTTCACATAGAGATGCACGCACCCACATGGTACACACTCATCATCGATCGTTGGGTACGGCATCCCATCGAGCACCAAGAATGGGCGCCACGTCCCGTGCACGGTATAAACCGCGGCGAACTGAGCTGCACTCAACGTCCTTGGATCTGCGAGACGAAGCAGCTTCTTTGGCACGTCTTCCCGCATGCATTCAGCATTTAGCGGGGGACCCTGCCATACGCCTTGCTCGTTGAACACGCAGAATGCGGTAATCCAGCCTGAGAGGTAGGTTAGCCCACTTCCGCCTCCTTCGTAGTGCGCGACTTTGGACCAGAAGTCAAGGTTTTCTGGGCTCGAGGGCGTGTTGAATGCTGCTACAAATTGCAAGATGATAGGGTGGAGGAGGTGATACCACGCTATTTATTCAATGCCGTATAGTTTCAGCCACTCTAGTCACTCAAGGATGGCCTCCCAGTCATGTCTCTCCCCGAGGAGCATCACAAGCGGTATCCCACAATGCAGTATAAAGTTGTACCGGAAACACTCATTCATCGTTGCCATCAAAGACATCGCATACACCGCCCGATCTACGTCCGTCGTCGTTGAAAATTGAGGCATAATCCAGTCCCTCAGCATTGGATCCACTAAGTGCGTGTGCATAAGCTCTGACATCTGGCGCGCCATGAGTGCAAAATCTGCCGTGTGACGATTTCCATCGTCAATGATGATAAACTCCTCCTTTCCCTCATGCGCTACGAACTGTGAACGGTGTTTGCGCTCACGAAGAAGTTGAATTGGGTGAGGATCGCTGTCCAGACATCGTCTGGGCAAAGAATGAGCCCTCGATGGTTGTTGTACGCCTCGAGCACGGTATGTACGAAACCGTTGGGCTTTGGCATGATGTCCCGCACTGCATCGAGCTCGATGGGAAGGGATGTGCAGAGGAGGTGGAGACAATACGTGAATTGCTCAGGGGAGGTCTTTTCGAGAATGGTGAGGTAGGGGTTTTAGTGGAGAGGGATCTGAAGACGGTAGTCTTCCGTGAAATACTCGGCGGGATGCGGGGCAGGGCGGAATGCAATCACGCCAGGAGGAAGTTGTTGAGACTGGGAACAGGTCTGGCACTCGGTATGATTCAGCATTGGAAATGAGATGAACATACTGTGGAGAGCGGGGACAGAAACTCAAATGAAGCCACAGTACTGGGATTGGATGATATCGGGGAGAACTCTGGAGACATGGGGGATGAATACGACCTGATTGAGCCTGTAAGACTTTCTGTAGGAGCGGTGGCTGTAAAAATGGCGGATACAGCTTCCTCCTTGAACTTGCTGCCTACGGGGAGAGGCAAGGCAAGGCTAATCGGAGAAAGTGGTGGTGATTTTGGAAGGGGTGTTGGAGGTCGGTCGGTGTCCCTTGATTTCGAGAAGACACGTCCGAACAATAATTTGCGAACCATAAGCCTGGAAAAGCTTGGGTGTATATGCTAACAAAGTCAAGTTGAGAAAGCCCAGGAATGGGCGTCGAGGAAGGGCATCGAATCTTGATTATGAATCGAAAGGCACTAGACACATGTTGCGACAAAAATGGATGTGGACCACGGGATAGAATTAAAAGATGTTCAGCTGACTTTGGATGATGCTACTATGGATGGGTGCACTTCTCTACTATGACCTTGTTGACCCCAGGGTTTGCTTTGTGGATATCCAGCTTGTTCGGCTGATGCGGTGAAAGTGTCAAAGGAAGTAAATTTGCGCTGACCTACATATATCCAGCCATGTCACACTTGGGAAAATCATAGTGACCGCCGCAACTCCACGCGGTAAACTCTATAAACTCATCTCGGATTTGATCAGGAGGTTCTAAGTAGTACTCTATGGCGAAATGGCGAACCAGGCCTCAAGACCTCAAGCAGAGTGAAACACCAAAACAAAGGTGACGGACCATCCTCGGTGAGTCAAATGTATATGCTATCTAGACTCGAAGCGTTTGATGCATAGGTTAGGGTTCCAGCCTACCGCCAAACCGCCTGGCAATCCTACCATCCTCTATTAACCAACCAGGAACTTCCTGCCAGAGGCTGGTGGGATCAGCAAATGCGACGGAACTTTGGAAACTGATCTATGTCACTATTCTCTCAAAGTCACTGTATGATAGCTTTATGAAAAACAAAACAGACTGGTATTAACCAAATTGGACTTTTGTACAACAAATTATGAATCAATCTGCGTGAATCATGGAATGTCCATTGCCGACTCTTCACCAGTAGAAATACGGCGGCGCTTTGCAGCCATCTCCCGACCATCTTCCTGAGTATGAAATAGATGTTTCAGCATATCCAAGTCATGCTCCGCCATAATCTTCTCCCCATCCGACGCACCACCAGGACGTCAAATATCCTTCCGATTAACATACATAGGATAATGGGCCTTTTCGGTCAGTCCAGCCCAATTGAAATCGAGCAGCATGAAGTCTTTATTGTTGTCCCTCACAACGAAATTCATATCCCGAAGGTCGCCATGAACGTAGCCGTCAGCGTGTAACTTCTTGATAAGAGATGAGATGGCCTCCTTCAGCGGCTGGCGGTCCAAAACAGCCATCGCACTCAGCGATCGATATGAGCTAGGCCGTTGCGCAGAGCGACCATCATCAATATCAAGCACATCCATAACCACCATATTCCAGCCACCGGCTAAAGTGTTGTAGGCGATAAGTTTCGGAGCGTGCCCTTTTCCCGCACAGAAGTCGTGGGCCTCACGTGAATAGTGCCTGACGAACTTGATACATATCTTTCTCCCACTCCCAGCCACATCGCCGACCGTTTTCCCGAAGAAGATAAGTCGATCCCTGAGGCTCTGAGTTTCATCATACGAGAATTGCTGAATGTGATCTCCTGAATGGGTATAATCCCGAGGATAAGGACATCCTAGAGATGCATCTTCGTCTTCGAGGAGGGGAATTGGTTGGGAGTACAGCTTTCCGAGTTTCTCGGTGGCGATTTTCAGAGCTCCGAAAGTACGAGCCGCCATCACTTGCATAGGGAGGTCTGTTATATGACAAAACAGAGGAATGATGGGACATCACATTGGACCTTTTCGATGAAAACAGAGCCAGCAAAGCCAATGCAGGCGCCTAGTTGTGGTCAATAAAGCACTTTAGCAATGAATTTGATCAAATGAACTAACCGAACACAATGATATGGATGCATGGAATCACAGACCGGAGCCTCACTATCTCAATCTGCGAGTTTTCCATAAACTTCCGGTAGTGCAACATTGCCTCCGCGAATGGTTCGGCACCGCCGCTTCCGATCTCGTTCTTCCCCTCTATTATCACCTGCACAAACTGTCTGTTGGGGGACAAAAGATGTCCGTCTGTCATACATTTTGTCGAGCCAATCATAGAAGCCTCGAGTGGAATACCGTAGTTGCAGAGCAGTTGCCTGAATACATTCATCCGCGTGAGCTCATCGGGATAGAAGGAGGACATATTTTCCGAAAGTTGCAAAACAAAGTCGTTATCGTAGGCAGTTGGTTGATAATTTTGACAATCATCCACGAATTCGGCGAAGATACGTTCAAGAAGAGTAACTGGAAGAGAGTCCGCGGCTCTGCGAGGACGATTGCAAAGGTACTCTTCCTTCTCCTGTGTTGCAGAGAATGTGGCCAATTTTGCACCAGCTGACGGAGGACCTGTGCTCTTCTGGAGATAAGTCAATCGTCGACCAACAACTGAAATCTGTGGCACCACAGGAACTAAGAACCAGACGCGGTGCTGATCAGTGTTCAAGGAATGGGTGGCAAACTGACAAACAACTCACCTGTATGCGGCGATTGGACAACAATATGCAGGTGTTCTTCGTCGGGTCGATGTTTAAAAACTTTGAGCAATTTAGTCACAGGTGATAAGAATTGCTCTGGTGTAAGATTGTCAAGACAGTATTTGAGCGTCTCGTTGACAGGCAGGTTGACCTTCTAAAGTATCAGAACATCAGCATCCAATCGTAGGCATCAGATGACTCACCTGCTGTAGCTTGAGTCTATGAGCGGCAATATCATCAAATTCTGGCCTCTTCTTTTCCTTGATCAAGTATTTAAGGTCCGCGACGTTCTCCGTGTCTCGAATGTAGACCGAGAAGATATTGTTGCGATGTTCGCGCAACACAAGGCAGTTGAGCTTAAGGTGGAGCGGTCTAGAAGACCCTAATCAAACCGCCATCAGTATGGATGGAAAGAGTGGCAATATTGACAGACAACTCACCGGCAGGCTCAGGTGGCTTTTGAACTTGGACAACGATATGCAGGCGTTCTTTGATGTGTCGATCGTCGAACAGGTTGGACAATTGAGTCACAGATGGTAAGAATTGCTCTGGTGTAAGATTGTCAAGACAGTCTTTGAGCGTCTCGTCGACAGGCAGGTTGACCTTCCAAAGTATCAGATCATCAGCATCCAATCGTAGGCATCAGATGACTCACCTGCTGTAGCTGGAGTCTATGAGCGGCAATATCATCAAATTCCGGCTTCTTCTTTTCCTTGATCAAGTCTTTAAGGTCCCCGACGGTCTGCGTGTCTCGAATGTCGACCGGGAAGATATGGTCGTGATTTTCGCCCAACATAAGGCACCGAAGTTTGTAGTTGGACTCCATCTGATATTGGGAACAAGAGTAATAGGTCGAACAGTGACCACTGCGTAGCGAGCTAGAACAACACAAGCAGCCACTCCCAGCTTCGTCTATCGCATCTATATCGAAGGTCAGACAAACAGTGGTTGGGCTGGGACCGAGCATCAGCTCGGTTCGAACGCTGGCGAGATCGCCGCTGGGTGGGCGGGAAAACTCGACATGCGGGCTGATTGAATGACCATTAAAAACGATATATTGATATACTATGCTAGTAGCGGGTATTCGTGTACGGGTATTCGAATATATAAACAAAGTACGAGGCAAATATTATGACGAGATTGCATTAAATTCTGGGAATGGAGGGCGAGCGAAAATATGCGAGCGAGCGAGATGATTGTGGAAACGAGCGAGCGGGCTGTATGATGCAGCGATGAAGAAAATGAGAGGAAGAGGAAATGCTTGAAAGTTTCAAGCTAGCAAACATGCACCAGGCAATTTTTTTTGCGTTGTTTTGATCATGACCGTCTCACTATTCCATTTCCCCGGGTCCGTCACGGTGTTGCCTTCCCATGGGCCCCACTCACGTCGCGTGCGTTTTTGGAGCCCTCTCAACTTCTATGTAAGCGGCATTCCAGCTCCCAGACCCATCACTGCAGTGCACTGGACAACACGTCTTGCATGAATTTGAGTGTGCCCATCGTGTGCCTGCTTTATCAATATTATCCGAGAGCAAAGCAAGTAAGGACTTCGACGCTGTCTGGAATGACAATCGTTGTCCAACACGTATCTGCACAGGCAATGGGCAGCAGCGAGCCAATCTGCCCGGATTACGATAAGTTAGTCCTCCACAATCTCATTTCCCTCTCTTTCCTATCCGAGCACGACGAGTCTTGAGATCTTGTTCGATGCTGTCTGTTTCTATCTGTGGTGGCACGAGGCATACACGATGATGGTAGTTACCTTGTCCAGTTTTGTGCTACATGCGAATGAACGGCTGACTGGAGACTTTCCATCCCTTCTTGAATGATCTATCGTCGAATACTCGTCGCGAGTCTCCGGTTTGAGTGCCCTACATATAAAAATGTCATTTGGACTGCACCTCTCTGAGGTAATTTTTCCATTCTGTCACACATATTTATGATGGTCGGTTGACGGTGAACTTCGATGAACAGATCGTAACGAATCATATTGGCGTTGCACCATGTCCAACTTGTCTGTCTCGCCCGAGGTGAGTAAATGTTTTGCCGTAGTTGGGATGCCGAAGTTCACCTAATAACTTGATCGTTTCTCATTGGCGATCTCAATAATACTGCTAAACACATCTCAGCATCGTACAACCTGAGGTAATGTTTCCACTGTGTTACAGATATTGGGGACGGTTCATTGACGATGAACCTCGATGAATAGATCGTAATGAATCGTATTGGTGTATACCCTCAAGTTCAATGACAGCATTTCCATCTGCTAGCCAAAACCGCTCATGCTTTCGAAGTTGCTCAGCAAGGTTGTCGGCTCGTGCGCGTTCAGTTCTTTTTTTGCGGGCTCGGGCCCTGGCGTAAGCTGGCGTTTGCGCATTGTGCTCTAGGCTGGGTCGCGTGAGTAGTGCACATATGTAGGAGCATTGTTCGCTGGTTTGCGTTTTATGAGTCTTACCTGCGTCGGAGCTTTCAGGACTACTCCAACGGAGAGGCCGAGCGCTGGATCACGTTCCTCGAGACTTCTGAATCTCCCGGATTGCTTTGGAGATTATGTATATTTTCATCCCCTCGTCGTGCCATGTTGTTCTACGGTCTGCGGTCGCCCTTCAAGCTTCAGGTCGGGAGAAGATGAGTGCAGTGATCAAACCGGGTTTGACTTAGCAGACGAGATAAGTAATTAATTACGATGGGGCTAATCAATCGTAGGATGGAAAGTCGCGCGATCGTGTCTGACTAGCGCTAGTACTTACTCCTATTTTGTGATAGCCATCATGTCGATGGTAATAACCGCGTACCAGTGATAAATCGATGACATGTCAACATAAGATATATGATAGACGGTTACCCTCAAGACGCGGGACCTAGTTACTCAGCGAGACTATGCATCAACTTGGTATCTTTCAGTTTGTTCTGCGAAGAAAAATCATCAATCTCAGAGATGATGTTCTGATATGACCAGCATTACTACTGCGGCCTGCCGTAGGAGTAGGGGACTGGCGCAGCCAAGCGCCGCTATGATATTAATAAGTGTAATTAAACTTGTAGACTAAATTTCAGAACCTGTACCACAAAGAATCCTGGACTGCCATGAACGCTGGCCCCGCGCAACTCTAGCGAGATAAAATGGTGCGCGATGCTTCTTGTCTGAGTGAAAACTTGAATTATTGGGGGAGCAAGAAACCTTGCGAGTGAGGTAACTTACTGCAACATCCAATCTGCTGGTCAATCTTCCTTCAAATACTCGTCGATCTTCTCTCAAATACTCTTCTGCACTGTACGCCAATCAGCCCGCATTGCATCCCTACCATCTCTGCACCACTCATTCGTCCACTGAAGGTTTATCAACGCTTCTAGTCCGCACAGCGGGTCGTGCTGATACAAGGTGAAAATATTTGAGTCGTACACGAGCCGAATCCACGCCTCGCGTCTCACAGTCTCCAAAAGGCACTTGCTAGCCACACTAGCAGGGGAGGTAGAGCCGAGTGGAGGTTTCTTGTCAGTATTTTCCGAAAGACCTGAGGTTCCTTTGGCATTCCCGGATAGTGCACCACGGAGGTTTTGGCAGACTAGATTAGGATCCTCGCGCACAACTACCTTTAGCCATATGTCACTCAGATACTCTCATCCGTACAAGGCGCAGCATGTCCGCATGGCTGATTTGCTCTGGTTCCTTGAGTTCGTTCAGACTGAATTCAGACGTCCTTGCCATATCGTAGAATGCAGGCTTCAACAGCCCATCAATGTTGCACATTCGTGCAAGGGCAGCCACCTCCGAAGCATCGCGGCGCAGCACTGGGTTGGCAGATAGTTCTTTAAGGTCGGATGGCCAGAGAGCTTCTAGCTCCTTCACAAGCCATTCAAAGTCGGAGTCAAAACCAAGCCATGACGCCGCGCGAATGAGGGACATCAGAATGGGAGGTTCAATGGTGTTGCGGTAATTCCTAACCCATTCGTTAGCCAGCACAATACAAGGTCCAGATGTGAGTAGATACTTACCCAGGGTTTTCATATAGCAAAAGCAGCGCCTCAAAATCTACTGCTTTGAGATTGAATCGACACTCACTTGGTTTAAACCCAAGTGTAATCACTTCAAGTTTAATACCTTTCTTGGCGAGCAGACCTGCAATGTTTTTTGAATGCTGCGCAAGCCACGATTGATGCACCCTGAAGCGGATACTGTCGAATTCAAGGATACAATTTCCGTCTGGTAGCCAAAAACGTTCATGATTGCGAGGAACATGGGTTTCGGTTCGTGCACGTTTGGCCACTTGCGTTGTGGGCTCGAGCTCCGGGATAAGTTGGCGTTTCTGCAGTTTGCTCAGTATTGGGAAAGGATTCAAAGGAAGGTCGACTGGGGCAGCCCGAGAGGCTGGAAGTTGCGTAAGCAGGCCAAATATGTAGGAACATTATTTGCTTGTTCACTTGTTCAAGTCTTACCTACACGGGAGGTAGTATCAGGACGACCAACTCCAAGGAGAAACGGATCGATGCTGGGACGCGTTCCTCGGGGCTTCTGCTGGACTTGGTTCTGTTCATCTTCACCCTCTTTCCGCGCCATGTTCGTTCCGGTCTGTGGTCACCCTGTAGGTCTGTAGAAGATGCTTTAGTGAGTTTGAACTAGCGGACAATACGAGCAGGAAGTTGGAACGCGACTTTTTTTTGGAGTCACGTGATCGTTTCTATGTGGCAGTAAATTGGGAGTAAACGCACATCCCCTGCATTAAACATTTGCCATGGGTGGTCCAAATCTTGAAGTTTTTAAATTTGGTCTATACTTGTTCGTTCCCGTCATGGCCTTGCTTCATTTCGGTGATCCTGCTTGGTACCATCACCGCGTCCTTCCCGTGGGTCCAACTTTTGCTTGTAGACGAATCCATCATTGACAATTATCACCAGTATAAGGATCATCTATTCCCGGCCTCGGATAGGACACACAGCGTGAGTTTTCTTGGCTTAATGTGATGCTCTCAGTGCGTTTACGACCCATGCAGAAAATACCAACAGATCAAACTGCCGTCCGAGAAGAGTTGGCAAGAATAAAGGCGGGAAAACTTGCGCGACGAATGGAGCGGGAGAAAGAACTTCAAACTCAGTCAGAAGCAGTTGTGCAGAGTTCAAACGGGTGGTTCAAATGGTGGTAGTGCATGGTAGTGGTATGTCGTATGAAGTTCTCATCACGCGTGGCATTTACAAGTCACTTGTAGTTGGTAGGTTTCCCTTGCTTCTTCCCAAATGCATGCATTTACTTCATCCGGGCTCTCCGTATTGTATCAATGTATCTGTTTCAATCCATGTTCCAGTCTCATTGCTTAGGCACCTGAATCTCTTCACCGTCAATTTGCACGCGCCAAGAGTTTTCCACCTGTGCCGCCGCGACAATCTCTTCGAATTCCCTCATCTCCTCAAAAGAGATTTTGACTCCACCGCATACAACGAAAACGAGGCACTTCTCCTTCCTCTCTTCTGGGGAAAGCGCCGAAAACTTTGGCCCGAGGATGTGCGAGAGAAACTCGCGGTTGTATCCAGGAGTCAGAGTTGTTGAACAAGCGAGTTCCGTCAGCATTTTGTGATCGTCTGGCAGTATGGTTATTGCGTTAGCATAGCGTTTAACATCGCACGGAGACTCACCTCCAAATAATCTTGCAGTGCGCATGGCCATCTCATCTGGGACGCACACGCATTTTATTCCTCCAGCACGATCGACTGCCATTCTAACCACGCCAGCAGCTGGTGAGGTCGCACCGAGAGATGCGGCTCGCGATTTCAGCGATTTCATGTGCGGTATAGCAACGTTGTATTCGCCGACGATTTCAATGGTATAGGGAGAACTGTCCTCTACTTGAGTGGAAGGCATGATAGGGACCTTGGAAGTGAAGTCCTGGGTATTGATGGCGATGGCGTTGTAGAAGCAGTTGGAGCCAGTGGTTTCGAGCGCCACGATCGGCACTTTCATCAAGTGCGACTTAGAGGCGTGGGTGTGCGGTTCAGAATTTCAATTACCTTCATCCCACCCAACGTTCTTGCAACCTTGTATGATGCCTCCGATAAGGCCTCCCCCACCAACACTGCAGAATATGGCATCTGGTTGCCTCGGGAGTTGTTTCTGCATCTCGGTCACCATGGACGAATGTCCATCCCAACAGACCGGCGAGTCATATGCTGGCACCAGAACGCTAAGATGGGGTTAGATCGCTGTAAGTGGTAGGTGAGTCTTCCACTCACCCATTTATCTCCTTCTTCACGGCATCTCGGAGCGCGGCCAGTGTTTGGGAGTAGACCTCCCCAATTGTTACAACGTCTGCACCATGCTTTCGGAGAGCCTGTTGCGTTTCGTTACTTATATTGATTGGAAGGAACACCGTGCATTTCACTCCCAAAGCACGTGCTGCAACTGCCGCAGCCAGACCTGCATTTCCGCCCGAGGCAATCATCAGATGCACCGAGGGGCCATGTTTCTCCTTGCATTGTTGCGCGAATTTAGAGATGCCTCGATATTTGAACGATTGGGAAGGTTGTAAATTCTGTACGAGGTGCGCCTGTTCGATGAGTCACACGTGGTCCAAATGTCTATCGCACCTCAAGCTTCAGATAGGCAGAACATCCGATGATATCCGAAATATGGCTGGAATAGACCAATGGTGTTTCCGTCCACAAGTTGTCCGACTGTGCGGCTCTAATGCTCATCTCACTTGATGCTGGTGGTTGTTTATAAGCTTTCCGAAGCGCCGGTCTTTCGTCTTTGTGGCATGTCTGCGAAGAACCCTGCTGTATTTGGTTATCTACACTCGATCTATGCTACAAATATCTCAGGTTCGAACCATCTCAGCATCATTTGAGTGAAAAGAAGATCGAGATGGCTCAAGTGCAGAGTAAGCAAGAAAGGAAGAGACGACGGAGGAAAGAAGGAAACAGTGGTTCAATCAGATCAATGTTTGTGATCTCAATTCCAGTGATCACGGGTACAATTTTCCCATCACGGCCATCTTTCAGGGTCTAGGCCAACTGAGCAACTTGACCATCACACGACCTCCTGTGACACTTCGTGACATTAATGTACATCAGTGATCAGACCAATGGGTGAAAACACCGCCTACCCTTCCCGAAATGCACCAAGCTGGTGATGATCACGAAGTTGAGCAAGAAGGGGAAAAGTAACTCGAGGGTTGTACACTGAGATAGAGTGAGATAGGCTCATGTGTCAAGATGAATTCCTCATCATGCTGCGTCGAAGCTAGTTCTCGATACATATTACGTTTACAACAGCCAATCAACCACCGAGTTGGGTCGCCGGGATAGCCTTTCCCTGGCCTCAGTTGCACGTACTTATTAGCAGATAAAAAGGCAGGTCGTTAATTAATGTATCATATAACAGTTGAGCTGACTTGTCACGCTAGCATAGGGTAGCATCTGGTAGCATCCTTTCAATTCCTTTGTGCTGTCGAACAAATGTCGTGGTCGTTGATGCCCGGGTTGTCTCTTGCGTCCAGAAGAGGCCTGGTTAGAATCATCGAGCAACGACTAGTTTCGTTGACAACATTTACATCTGCACGTACCCTGCACGAGAAGGATACCAGCCAGAACCATGGTTTCGATCAGCCTGTCAGAACACAGCATGAGCCAGGCAGATTAAGTATATTGACTTCGAACTTACCTATTCCAACTCAGATCCAAGCAAGGTTGTTGACATAAGTATTAATGCCATGCGGTGTCTGGGTTACTGCTTGAGTTGTGCAGGGCCCAGGCTGCAACGTTGATCATGAGTGGCACTCACAGTGCACGCAATTCCGACATTGCAAGGCGTTCTAACGGCACCGAACCACTTGATTTGATTTCCGGGAAATCGAGGCTGGATAGTGGTCCACCGTGATTCACGGGTAACATCCTGTAACATCCAATAGCGGAGCAACGTCGGCTTCTATTGATTCCTACATATAGTAGGACTAGTGTGTGGGGCAGGGTCCGGGGGAACGCGTCGAACTGCGATGAGCGGCACGTTGGATTATGTAGTATTCGAGCCGCGGATCTTTTGGAGAACCCTGATTGAGTCTGGCACGAATTTCATCTTGTTTCATTAGGCTGAAGCACGAGTACCAACACCGGAGTCCAAGATATCCTGCATTCTTGAGCTCGTCTCAATCTTTTAGTCTTTGACTTGGCAGATCCAGTCAACGTTCTGTCACCCGTAACAGTTACAGGCAACCGGTGAACATTCATATGGCCGAGGGAATCTTGTATGATAGTAGGCTATAGCTACTTAGTGTTAATGGACATCGTAGGCAATGGTGACACCGCGACTGGCAATGAAAAAGAATCATTAATCAGGTTGCGCAATGTGCATACGTGGTAAGCCGTCAATGCATAGCAACTAACCTTTTGAAGATGATCGAAATCATACGTTTTTTTTGACAGATATGATAGGCCTATGCTACATCCATCGTATCTGTCAACGGAGAGGTCAACGCATCCGAATAGATCCTACATCCTAGTACCGGCAGTGCTGGTAGTTCCAGATACTTGGCGCAAGTTGTGGACGGTGGATTCGTGTTTTGGATGTACGGGCGTCGCGGTGTCGGAGGTTGCAAATGTTGGTTTCTCGAGTTAGAAACCTCTATCCGTTGGAGGGTCGGTCGAAGTGCGGGACGCCGTCCTGCAAGGTATAAACTTTATATGAGTTTATCAAATCAAAGTTGATCCAATGCTGAATACTTCCCACCTCTCGCAAGTAGCGTCAATAGTCTGGACTATCCAAACGCGTTACGATGCATGCAACATGAAAGCACAAAAGCAAGTTCAGATTCAATTCCAACCTAGACCATTCTGGCATTTTCCCCAGCTTAAGGGACGTTCCTGAGACTAGGGCGGGACTCAGGCTCCAACGACGGGATTTTCACTCTCGCATCAACGGAGGTTCAGTACCGTCTCCGTCCCATTACCGCCAGGAACGTACGACAATTGATTATTGCGACCCTCCAACCACGGTATCACTTAGTAGGGTACTAGTAAGTACCTGTCGTATCGTCGATTTGATATTTCAAGCACAAAAAGACACGATGAATTCGGGCGGTGGCGCGGTAAACGCCGCTTGTCCATTGACATTCAATGAGCATTTGTTTTTTTCGAGCAGAACTTTTTTTTTCTGTTCTAGACAGTCTAAAGCTAACGATGAAAGGACAGCCTGTGAACGGGTTGGCAATGTCATAGATGAGCGCGCGCTCGACCCTCCCTGAGTCCGCCCGGGCGATGATGCAATTTATCAGAGTTGCGATTGGCTATGCATGTATGTCGAATTTCAAAATGAACAAATCAAGATCTAACGTTTACATTCATCATTCAGGTAAAGTAAAAAGCCAAGGAGGAGCGGGGTTTGTCACCCGAGGAGGCTATCGCTCTACTGGGGAATAGGGAATAGGGAAGGAAGTATTCAAGCTTCGAGGAACCACACCTGGTCGGAAACATTTCCCTCCGGGATTAAAGCTCGAACGGACGGGTTGAAATTTGGTATCGAGTCGGTTTTGCAACTATGCCATTTCTGAACGTCCGGGCCCCCCTCGCGCAGATACTACTCCGATACCAGACACTAGGTTCTGATATCACCCAGACGTAATCTCTCCCGATGCGTCTGTCCAATCATATGAAGATCTAGATACAAGGCAAGGGAAACACTGTTAGTATTAGTTTTTCTTGATTCAGTCACGTGTAATTTGACGCGTCAACGATAGTTTGTGTCCCACACACGGCCGCGCGGTACATGTTGTCTTCTTTTATTGTCAGAATGATCCTTCCGTGTCATAGATGATCCGCGTTGTGTTATGGCATTGTGCGCGTATCTGAGGATGCGAGGTCTCTTGCAGCGACAATAAAACATCCCATGACCATTGACGGAGTTTACTTGCACAGACTCATACGTTGAGACAGCCTAAGCTGCGGCGAAACGCGTAGATGGTGGATATGACCCGCAATCTATCGCGTATACCACATCATGATCTTGGCGCTCCGTGGAATATAACATATATTCAGAATTAAACCCAGCCTGGGTATCCAATGCAAAGTTTTCGTCACTCTCGCGCGCTCTTTCAAGAAGGAAGCATCCGATGTCATGATTAGCTGAGTGACGTTCGGACTTACGACAGTTGCGGGCGATGCTTACTGGTTCCAAGGGGGGCTGGACCTCTTGGCTTGGCGTGGCGTGGTTATTGTCCGCATGAAAGCCTATACATAGCATTGCTAGGTTGGCTGGGCGGAATGGCTCGGATGGGCTTTTGACATTTTCTCGCCGAGAGTTGTGATGTATGTTGACGTTCATTATTATTTTTTCTGTGTATTGATGCGATGTGATGCGATTCTGTTCCGTGGTTTACGTGATAAGCTTTGATGTAGGTTTGACACTCACGACAGGTCAGCGAATATATTGTGGGTAGAAGGAGCGGGAGCGGGAGCCTCCCTTCTCCGATATTGTCTGGGATATCCGCAAGCTATTCATGTGGTTAATCTCGACAATACCTTCCACTTGCATCTGTGCAAATTCTATTTTGAAGTGCGGGGTACGTAAGTTAGGTTGATTTCCCAGGCACTTGTTTTCGTAAGCGTCGATCGTTAGTTTTAGTTTTGTTGTGTCCGAGAGAAACTTTGCAGACGCCTAGCCCCTTGGGGGAGGGTTCCCTGGGTTATGTGCCTCGCGGAATGGGTAATGAAGAGTGAATAGTGATCGGGAAGAGGTCAGCTGTGCTGACCCGAGGCGAACGCGCGTATGTTAGCGGTTAGAGCAAGCAGTGTTATCGTATGCTTCGAGGGTCTGGACCGTGATGGAACATGGGTTTGACCGTGTTAGGAAATGGTAATTCCCTGCTTATCCGCCATTATCGGCGCGAGAGTGTTGTGAATAATCGGAATTTGCAAGATTAATTAGTACTATTCGCTTCCAAAGAGATGCTGTCAGGAGTAGTATGCTGTGTTTTTGAGGAAATTGAATTGATGGGCGCGGTGTGATGGTATACGGGACAGGTAATTGTGAGATAGCCATGGATAAACATTGTGATTTGATTAAGCTACACGTGTATGTAAAAACCACCACCTCGTGGGCGGGGATTCCGACCAGTTGTGATACGCATGTGGCCCGAGTATCCTAGCGGGGAACAAGGAGCGGATCAGGCGATGTGACGGGAGTGATGCGGACGACTTAGTAAATCAAATTCCATGGATGAAATGTAGGACCGCGAGTGGGTAGGAGTTAGAGGGTCGTGGGGGGGTTACGTTATTTATTTTACGGCGTGACGTGTGTTATCTTTTATAAAAACGGTGCCGTAGTTCGGCGAGGCTGTTCCTAGTAACCCAAAGTAACGGTTAGAAATTCAGAGTCCGATTTTTGCTGTGCCTTAATTGAGTTGAGCGTCTGGTTATTCAGGCACCTTTTTTATAGAAAGTTTGTTCCTCTTTTCCTTAACCATGGAGGACTCAAAATCTTCACCTGTCGATACTAGTCAACACGATTTAAAGCACTCTCCAACTTCACATTCAATTTCTCCTCATTCTTCAGATCTTTTATCTTACGAAGAACAACCTGACTTATCCCCTACCGCTTCATCATCTGGCGACATGGCTGCCCTCGTTGCACCAAATAATCCTTCTTTACTACCTACTACCGCTGGTATAACTGGCGTAAATAAACGATATCGTCCTGCTCCTGC